CTCTCGGACCTAACCGTCACTGTCACCGCGGTTCACGCCGCGCCCCCCTGCTCGGTGGACCGAAGCCACTTCGTCGAAGCGATGCCAACACTCGTCTCTCCTGGGGAACCGCGGGGCGTGGCCGTCTCCATGGTTTTGGACAGATTGGGGGGGACACCGTGATTTCCCGGTTTTGGTCCCAAAGGAAGAAGAGAATAGACATGAATAGACTACCAATGGTCCACCTACTCAAGGACCCAGGGTGTTACAGGGGGGCGGCTTTTCCGACCAGACATGCCCAACCCAGGTCCCAGGTGCCGCGCCCCGCCATTCGTAAATCCGTCTACTTCCTTGGCCCAAACAAAGCATGGGAACTGGATGGAACTGGGAAGCATTTGGAAGTTGATCCAACCAACCGCATCTTCAACCAGCCAACCTCAGCGGATGTGGTGTTTTTTCCACCCTAAGACTCCGGGCCCGAAACCAACACAGGTTTGGTTACCGGGCCCCCGCGGTTGAAACCGGTTTCCGAAGGTCCGACCCCCGGAGCTCGGAGCCCGGCGCAGCCCCGCACCGGGCATGGTTCAGGTGCCAAAGGCATCCATCCACCAGGAGTCACAAAGGGGTGGTGTTTAGTCCCTAAGTGAGTGGATAATGGGCACCCCTAACCTCCATTAAGCACCCCTTTGTGACTGCTGGCAGGTCATTCAGGTTCCCTTCAGTGTCTTTGCTCAACCTCCGAACACCCCCCCCGGCGACCAGAGACGGCGGCCTTCCAGCGACCAGGGCCACCAACGGAGCTCGTAGTTCCTCACGACACCGTCACGCGACCGACCCAACACTAAACGGTTCGGACCGACCCACCGACCGAAAGGGGTTACGCAGGGGGGTTGGCGGGCCCGTCAAACTCCGATCAGGTTGGGGTAGTTTCAGGGGCCAAGGTAGGCATAGCATCAATTCCATATCATTCCAGTCCCCAAATTCCAACGTGTTTGGGCTATGTTGGTCCCGGATTCCTAGGGCCGGGAGGAGGACGCGAAAGGAGGCGGACGCAGGTCCGTCTGAAAGTGAGGTGGATGACATGGCCCCGACGTTCGACTCGGCCCATGAATTCCGAAGACCAGACAGGTGGTGAACTTCATGTCCAGGATGATTTCAGTGAGTGTGAAGAGCTTATCTTATAAACCTTTTGACCGTGTACAACTGAGAAGTCCTGAGAAGAAGGGTTGCCCTGCAGAAGGACTTTCTGCCTGTTCCCGTGTGCAAGTCTGCGCCGAAAGGGAACAAAAATACCTGCCAGCAGTCACAATACGGGGTGCGATCCATGGAGGTTAGGGGTGCCCAGAACATCCACTCACTGGATGGGACTAAACACCACCCCGTCTTGTGACTCCTGGTGATTGTTCCGATTCGATGTTCTCCAACAAATTGGTCCAAGCTGAGGAGGACGATCTCTATGGGTCCCTTGGTCTGGTGGCGCGACCGTGCTCCGAGAGTCGAAGCGCAAAAACCATGACCATGTCGTGCTATGGAAAAACAATAACACCAATGAAGCGGGTAGGTGGCACCCTCGCAGCCAAAAGAAGAACCAGGTAGTACTTGTTGCCGAGCTTGTTGCCGAGCAGGACTATGTTCTCATAGGTGTTCCTTTCGAGCGAATCCTCTCAGCGAATCCCTGTGGACAAAGCCCTGTTTGGTCTTCAGAAAACGGTCTTTCCAATGCCATCCACTTCCATGATTGTTGGGAGGGTATATTTCATATATTTTCATGCAACAAAATAACATGTTGCTTCATTTAAAAAACAAACAATAATCATGAAAAAACATTGAACAACAGCATAGCAGTAATCTGGGCAGTTCATGAATCCTATCCCAATGCAGCTGCCACTCTCCCTTATCCCCCTCCTCACCAAGCATCTCAATGCTCCGACCATTCGCCTGCGGCCTCCTCCAGTGCAGCAGCACCGAGTGCCGGGAGCGCTCCGCCACCCCGATCGACGCCACGGCCTCGGGGACATCCACGAAGTCCTGCGAGCCGCGGCACCACCGGAGGTGGTCCGGTGACGGTTCAGAGAGCGCGGCCACACGGGGAACGTCACCCGTCACAGAAGTGAAGTTCTCTCATCCAAAGCCACTTTCCAATTGCGACAATGAGCCAACCCAGACTTGAGCCAAAATGGTACCCGTTTTGGGCTATAGTGAAATGTATTGTCATGTAAACAGTGCGTGGTTTACGCATGCTCCAAGCATGCACGAGCTGTGCCGACTACTCGCGGAACTTCAGAGATAGAAATAGCAGTTCTCTGCTCCCTCACTTTGCATGAAAACAACTGGCGGACTGCTGGGTGGGTGGGTGAATCTTAACTCTTACCCCCTCTTCGATTGTCAAGTATCCCGGTCCCTTCTTTTCCGAGAGGCCATGTTTGCCATGATCTCATACCGTAATCTTAGGGTGTAGCTACTGAGGGAAATAAACACTTGCACTATAGTTGCTTGCAGATCCAGAATTGCTTCAAGTGCGAATCACTCTTACGACCCGCTAGAACATGCTAGAACCCAATTTGCAGACCATTTCTCTAAGAGGGGTCTGCAGCTGGGCACCGGACACCCCTCTGCATGGTACAAAAACTCAAAATGTCAAGTCTCATGACTTCGGCTCTCTGACTCTCTGCCAGTCTTCCTCAATTTTTTTGTGACCGGACACCCACCCACAGAAGAAAGCGGCCTTTTTTTGGCTGAGAAAGCGAGGCTGCACCCTCTGTTTGGTTGGTCTCTTTTGGGACGTCGTTGTTTCATGTTGTTTTTCACAATCTTCAAAAGGAAGGCTTGAATTTTGGACCATTGCTGATGATTCGCATCCTAAGCCCAAGTAATCCGAGTAACTGGACTCAAAATGACTCAAAGAGCCCAACCTGTGGAACAAACTCAGGAACCCTGTAAATCTTCGGGAAGTCGCATGGTTTTTGAAAACCCTGTCCACACTTCGGATTTGACACCCTAAGCGCAAATACCACTGCTGCGACGGGTTGTACCACTCGCATGGTCTCGAAGAACACATGGTATACCGTTATCAGAGGTCACCAATGGAAGCCCCTACACCACTAAGGGACCTCCATTGGACACCCCTTGAAGGTCCAGGTATGCTATACCGTTATCAGAGGTCATCATCTCACTTTCGGACCCATTGCAGGCTTTTCGGACCTTAGCATATCAGCGATATGATCTTCAGAAAGTGAAAATGTGACACACCCAATCTCAGACCCTGCATGAACTTGTTTTTGGCCGCCCCAGACAGACACCTGAAATCAACCATCCATTATTGCCCAATTTCCTTCTGGATTCATATGCCAGGTCGTGTCATGTTCATGTCGTGTCCGGGTCTACGGACGACGGACGGGCCAGACCCCCTCTGACGCCCCCTCTCTCCTCCGTTGCGTCCGTGCTCATGGCGGGGTCGGCGGGTCGCCAGGCACGGCGGCCGAACGAGGCACGGTCGTCGACTGAAAGGTCGGCCCCAGATGGCCTGAAGAGGTTTTACAATCCAAATGGTGGGTAAAACGAAGAGGTTTTTACCACATGCATGTCTCGCTAAGAATCTGGACCCTCAAACACATAGGGTTTTGAGGGTCCAGACCCCTGCTATGGAGGGCCCCACCCCGGCCATCGGGGCCCAAGGATTCTGAGGATTCTTAAGGCTGGGAGGAGGTGTCCTTTTTCTGAATCAAGAGTCTACATTCTACATTGTTACAGTGGCCAACTTCACCAACTAAGGATTCCCTCCAACTCTTGGAGTTGCCAGCCAATGGCCCTCGTGGATGGATGCCCTGCCCGATGTCTTCTCCTTGGGGGGGGGATGTTGGGGGCCCTCCATCTTCATGCGTTCCTTGTTGAGGCTTGGTTTTGGACCGATGTCGGCCTCGCGTGAGTTCTGGAGGTCACCGGAGGTTTGACAGTCGGTGAGCCATAATATTTTGTTGCTCAATGATTTAGGTGGTCAAAACCCATCTGACTGGAATTTGAGCCAAGACCTTTGCAGCATTGACTGGGGGACTGGGAATGACTTGGAGCGAGCGCCTAGGAAAGGATTTTGGAGACCCGACCACAGGTTGGCTTCACCCTGCGCACCAAACGGACTTATGTCACCAGGAAACACCGATTGAACGGAAAGTCCAGTTATTTTTTCGTCGACATACTGTAAACTCAATGCACCCTCCGTCTGTTCTTCCACACATCTTCAACGTCCATCACCAGCTTTGGGCGTCCTCGATTTTCGGGCATTACTAGTATAACAAGAAGCTACTAGTAGCTCCTGGCCACTGAAGCTACTAGTAGCTACTAATATATAACAAGCACGTCCCGACCCGAACGTCACAAGCATGTCCTGTCCCGGACGTCTCGCCGCCACCGGGAAGACGGCCCGGGTCGCCCGGTAACACAGGCCGGTCGCGGCACGGTGACCACGGTGACACCGGAATGGGCCACCTCCGGTTTTCCCCAGTTCCAAGCAGAAACAGCATCTGGTGGTTCCAAGTTCTGGCATCCCTACCCATTCTGGGGGGGGGGGACCTGAAAAATTGTAACTTACATTTTCCCCTAACATATACCTAACAAAATGTAAGTTACATTTGTTAGGCAAACCCCCAAAAAATGTAACTTCTTTAAGTTACATTTTTCAATATGAAAATGTAACTAAATAGGGGAAAATGTAAGTTACATTTTTCATGCCTTTTCCAGGGAAAATGTAACTTGCATTAAGTCACATGTCTCATGGTTGCAGAATGCTGCACAGAATAATGAATGCGTCCTTTTCTCTGCATCTTGCTGCGTTTTTCGCATGTCAGGCTTTTTGCCTGTGTGGCCAATACCCTCATGACCATAAAAAGCATTTCCCATGAAATGCCACCCTAGTCACTCAAAAGGTTGGCTGGCACAACCTGAGTGACCTGCAACAAAAAGGACAGCAAAGCCATGTGGCCAGTGTCTCTGCCTTCGGCATTCACTTTGCCACTAGGGATGAACTGTTCCACTCTGTAGAACACAGCCCTTGAATGGCCTTTCTTGTCGCTTGAGGATTCCATCAAATCAAAGAACAATGCACACTGCACGGTCAGCGGTGCCCACGTGTGCAATTTCTTGTTGACTCTGATCGTGGCATCTTCCTTCAGCAACTTGATGCCACGCTTCTCGTACACGCCGGGGAGCTGGCGGAAGAAGGCCTGCAAATTGCGCTGGCCAACCTGTCCCTTGGGGAAGTCCATGATGCTGAATCCGACATTTTCTGTATTCTTCACAGCCTCCAAGCCGTCCTTGCCCTCCTTGGACTGCTTGCTCTCCTTGCCATCCTTGAGCGGCTTTTTCTCCTGGGCAAGAAAGACTGTGAGCGGATTGACGTCGCCTTCCTTCACCTGTTTGAGAAACGCCATTGTCTTGTCAGACAGGGTAAAGTAGCACCTGCCACCTCGATCGCCGATGTGCTGATACGGGATTTCACAAATCACATCCTGCTGGGGATTGATCATCTTGCTGCCCGACATCAGGGACACCACGTAGAAGCCACTGGCATCTTCATCACATTCCTGGTTGTAAGATGAACGCAAAAACACCAAAAACAAAACAGTATCTTTACCTCCCTAAATGTAACTTACAATATTCAGGCAGTCTCACACATCATTCATGTAGCCTGAAAAATGTAACTTACATTTAGGGACATCAAAGTGAAATGCAAAAATGCAAGCTTTCTACCCACTACAGGATACTAGAGGTATAGAGGTCAAATGGCGTATAATGGTGGGTATAAAAGTTAAATAACTCATTCAAGCTACTTTGGCAGGAGGAACCCAATCAAGGTAAAGTGCCAAGACCCTGGACACTGCCTCTGCCGGTGCATTGATGCCCACAGACTTGCTCACTCGTATCCGTCTAGCCACAGACTGGTCACGAGCCACTGCTCCTCGGAAAACGGCGAACACCACAACGATTGAGAATGAAACGATGCTTCCAATCACCTCTTTGATCAGCACCAGCTGGACATCCTTCGAGCAGATCGGTCGGAAAACTGTTGATGGAAGAATAGGAGGTTCCTCATCTTTCGCCACGCCAGATTTGTCCGACACCTGCTGAACCAGGGATTGCTGTGCGCTGAACCAGCTATACATGCGACCAGTCCTGGCCGCAGTATATCTGTTGAATTGCTTCGCCCGGCAGAGTTGCGACTTCATCACATTGTAGAGATTTTCGTTTGGTCGCTGGCCCTGTACTTGCGTCTTCGACCTGTGCGCGCAAACAGCCACAAAACCATCCAAAAATATTTTAGACAAAGAGATCAAACATGATGAAACAAGCAGCTGCACTGACAAAACCAGCTTAAAGCGACACAAACCATCCAAAAAACTATGCCCCGGACAAAATCTTCTCAGCGATCCGGACTTTGTTGATGAACCTTTTGAGGGGTTCCAAAAGAGCACGAAGTCGTGGTAGACACCCCGTAGCAAACACCTCCTGGTCAGGACAAAAAATTGGATTTCTCTGCACTTCTGCCAGGATGTCCGAGAAGCAATCCTTGCTCTTCTTGCATCTCCCTGGCATGGACTCTTCCTGGGGCTCGTTCTCATCCTCTCTGGCTGGGGTGTTCTTGTCTGCACTCTTGTCTGCCGATGGGTTCTGGGCCAGGACTTCTTCCAATTCACGAATCAACGCCTGTCGATCCTCCAACGTTTGAAGCCTCTTTTCTGGCTCTTCTTCTTCTGGACATGGTGGCAAGCCCAGCTGTTCCTCCATGGTTTCCTCAGCGGCGTCACACTCCTCAAAGTCGTCCATGTCCATGCAGTCCTCTTCAAAGAACAAAGGTTCCTGCCAGCATGAGCTGAGAACATCTGAGAACACAAGTTTCATCAAATATCAGCAATCCACAAAGTTCACTGACCTCAACTATCTG